CCCACCCACCATGTCCCCCCGTGGCGTACCAGGGGTGGTGGCGTGGGGGTGGCACTGTCCCCCCAGGCAGCCGTGCCACAGCCCCAGGCTGGCCGTGCCCCCCGGTGCCCGCCGCTGCACCCAGAAGTGGGTGGCTGTGGCGGCCACCAGCAGGGCCAGGCCACTGGCCCCGCACAGCAGCCCCCCTCCCGCCGGCATCCCTGCAGGGACACAGACAGCGTGGGGACAGCGAGGGAACACGGGGACAGGGACAGCGTGGGGACACAGGGACAGGGACAGATGGGCAGCATGGGGACAGCACTGGGGACGTGGAGAAACACGGAGACATCTTTGGGGACACAGGTACAGTGTGGGGACACTGACAGGGTCATGGGGACAGTGTGGGGACAGTGGTGGGGACAGTAGCAGGGACACGGGAATACTTGGGGATGGCATTTGTGGGGACATGGGGACACCCGTGGGGAAATCTCTGGGGCCATGGGAGTACCCGGGGGTGGCACCTGCAGGACAATCAGGGGGAAAGGGGGGTACCCAGGGGTGGCAGCTCTGGGGACATTGGGGACACCCATGGGGACATCTCTGGGGCAAGAGGCTATCCAGGGGTGGCAGCTCTGGGGACACTGGGGACCTCTGGAGTGGAGGTGGCACTGCGGGGACGGGGGGAGGGGACAGTGGGGACATCATCAGGGAAACCGGGGGGTCCCAGGGGAGGGGACACTGGGGATAGCCCCCCCAGACACTCACCCACCTTCAGCACCCACTGCCTGGGTGCCCCATGGCCACCTGTCCCTGTGTCCCGCTGTCCCCTGTGTTCCTGTGTCCCTCCCATGCCCCCCGGCAGGGGACAGGGCCCTCTGGGCACGTGGTGGCACCACCATTGTTGGGGACACAATGGGGGAAGGTTCTGGGTGCTGAGGTGGCAAAAGTGTCCCCAGGCGGGTGACATTGCAGGAAAGGGGGGGAGGGGACATGGCCGGGGCCACCCCTGGGGACACAGGGGAGGGGGACAGTGGGGTCCCAAGGTGGGGTCTCACCGGTTCCCAGTGGCAGGCTGGGGGTCTCACAGGTTCCCAGCACTGGGCCGGGGGTGTCCAGGGTGCCCATGTTCAGGGTGACCCCCCCAGGGGTGCAATCCCCCTCTCCCAGCAGCCCACACGTGTGGGATCCCTGTCCTAACCCCGCACCTTCCGCAGCAGCAGCTCCCCAGGGGGTCCCCGGAGTCCCCCAGGGTGGCCTGGTGCCCGTAGCTGGGATGGCAGCAGGGGGGTCCCTGGCCCTGGTCACACATGAGGACCCCCATGCCTGCGGGGACCCCCCAGAAGTGCCAGCACACAGCCACGAGCTGGCCCAGTGGGGTGACAGTGGCACCCTGGGGTGACAGTGGCATCCAGAGTGGCCTTGGCCTGGGCATGGCCGCTATGGGGGCAGGGGCACAGTGTGCACCCCCCCGAGGGGTCACCAGGGCCTGGGGACAATGGGGTCTGTCACCAGGGCTGGGGCACACCATGGACAGGTGACACTGGCACACACCCGCAGTGGCACTGGGGACTATGGGGACAGGTGACACTGGCACCCACTCATGGTGGCACCAGGGACTGTGGGGACTGTCCCTGTCCCATGGTCACAGGGAACACTGTGAGGGACTGTCACTGTCACACTCTGGGACCGTCCCCAGCGCAGCTCAGGGACAGGGGCAGGGACATGGACAGGGACAGAGGCGATGGAGACATCTCCCCCGGGGGTGTCTCTGTCACCTCCAAGGTGTCTCTATGTCCCCCCAGGGTGTCCCTGTCACCTCCTGGTCCCCCTAGAGCCCCCCCCATGTGGTAGGGGGCGGGGGGTGACTGCCCTCAGTGGGGAAGCTGCACCCGGAGCCCACATTGTCACCTTGAGGCCTTTATTGGGGGACAGAGGGGACCCCGGGGGACCCCCCATGCTGCTCCCCCCCTCAGTCCTCCAGGTTGCGGAAGGCCGCGGTCATGTCCTCGTGGAGCTGCGCGAAGGACGCCAGGATTTGGGACTCGCCGTCCTTCACGGGGTCCTGGGGGCACAGGGGGGACGGGGGGTCACCC